GCCACGAGTTTGAAGCTTCAGCTCAACGAATGACCGATCCATTCGTCTCGCAATAAGTTCACTTTCATTTTGATTCTCGAAAAATCTCTGAGATGAAGTCAGTATCAGTGAATCATCCATAGCTGTTTTCTATGTTAACTAACTGTTTCCCGTTCCAACGATAATGATGAGGAATCTGGGAGTAACTCGATTCCGCTTGAATTCACTACTGTCTTCACGAAGACAGTACCAACCACAATGAAATTGCTCCACTCAAGTGAAATGGCAACGTGCGATTTGGGATCATTGAATCAGTGGGAACCGATTGCAATTATATCAGAAATGTGCCGTTTCAAGAAAGAAACTATTCAGTTCGGTTTTCAAATCTAACTGAACGCAGCTTACTACAATTAAAATATCCCATATGTTTCGTGTAAACACTTCAGATGTCACTTATTAATTCATATATTTCAGATCCATAAGAATAATTGGAAGGAATAAAAAAGTTGGTTGAAACTAACGACGTTCGAGGTGATATTCGAGATTGCATCCACAAAGTACATATTCGCAACTTGGATGATATCACCGTTCCTGTCATCGCTGTCGTTAGTGTGCAAGCGCTTCACACAGCGATACCATCCCATTTCGTGTTTTGTGACGGCCGGAAGCCTCAACTCAAAGTGATCACCGAGTTTAGGTCGTTTACCGCCGCCACGCATCTTTCTGTAACATTATTACGAGTACTTCAATCACTAATAAATATCAAACAGAATCGATCCTGATAAGTTCAGAATTGAGCTCGATTTTTTCGAAACTTTGCTCACGATCAGCTTCAAAGCATCTCGCGTAAGATCAAATCACTCATGCAATGATCAAAATGAACTCAGTGCTTTAAACAGGTTGACTATAATTCTACGGTAGTTCGATGAGACTTTCCGAGAGCTTTCTTGATCACGAAGAATCTAATCGGCCAAAACCTCCGTAAAACTTCCATAGTTTTATCGGCAATTGAGAGTGAGTCATCAATTCCTATTACGTTCCACCAATCCCCTTTCCAACTGTGAGTTAGTTCTGCTTTTTCCCATGAATAATCCCATTCCTTAGGATCGCTCTTCTTGTGCACATTGACAGCAGCCAGAAGTGCCTGCAACAATCACTGATAATGAGAAAAATTACGCAATCGACAGTACTCTACTATCAATTTCTTAATACAGTCCCATCGCGAACTCAAACCCAAATGAAAGGAAAGTAATTCCAAGTATGAACAAGAGTCGTGTTCTTGTCTGAAAATCGATCGAGTAATTCCAAGTATGAACAAGAGTCGTGTTCTTGTCTGAAAACCTCTTACAGCTAAACCTTAATTTGCAATAATTTGTTCTCAACGTTCGGATAAAGTAGCCGAAGCATGAAGGCATCTTTAATTCAAACATATACCAGCTAAAGTTTTAATGGGAACTGGTCAACCTAAACAAACTGATACCTCCTTGATCCGATCGTAGATTACGCGAGTTTTCTTGCCCAAAAATGATTCATTCGGCTTCCAAACTTCCTCCACTTCATTTTGCTCTTCCGGACTCAAGCTGAAACCAAACACTTTCTGGTCAAAGCATCCGCACCGATAGTGGGATCAAAAATGGGATCAAAGTGAGTAAACTGCATAAAGTCATATTGATGAAAGCGAAACTTCAAATGGGATAAGTCAGATCAGATGTCTTTGAAAGATAGTTTCTCCTCTTATTCCTCGAAGTCGACGTTTTCTGAATCCGGGTGGGGAATTGAAAAGAGACAAGAAAATAATACCAGTCGAAGCATCGTAAATTCACTTCCGCATCTCGCAACGCTGTGATTGCCGTTACCCTGGCGTAAGTTGAGGCTTGTTCATCTCTCAGCTGCATACACCGATAGTAATTGCGTAGTCTAATCTCATAACGTTTGCTCTCGTACTTACTTCTCATATCCTTTGCCCTGTATGGAATAAATCCAGTTTCATATTCAAATGATCACATATCACCTTTCGATATTTAAAGGGACATGTATCACATATATTACATTTTTGGATTTAAAAGAAGATAGACCGTTAAAATTTAGATTCTTCATCTGAGGACTTCTATGTTTCATGACAATTTTGAGGTACTGAAATTCCAGGAATACATCATGAAACAAATGATTCAGCTTGCAAAAACTGAGCATAGTGATGCCCTGAGCTTGATTCACTCAAAAACTTGCGAAGCATACACAAATAGCTTTCGAATTGCGGATTTTTCATCAAAATGTCGAATGTTCTCATTGAATCGCTGTATTTATGATCTAATTAAAGAAAATATGATTATAGCGCCAAGAAAGCGAAACATGAATGTATTGAGGTGATAGATTTTTAAGGTGATGTATTCCGATATAGCAATGGGATATATGTTTCCAAGGTGATATATTCCGAACTATCAATACCGATAATATGGAATTGTTCTTGCGGAGAGATCAATTACGCACAAATGCTAAAAGTTTCTCAACTCTTACACTGAGTTCTGGATCATGCGTGCGCAGTTGGATGACTAGCTTTTGAACTGTGACTTCCATGTATTTTTTCATGATATAAGGCNNATCAATTACGCACAAATGCTAAAAGTTTCTCAACTCTTACACTCAGTTCTGGATCCTGCGTGCGCAGTTGGATGACTAGCTTTTGAACTGTGACTTCCATGTATTTTTTCATGATATAAGGCGTGCTCATTCACGAAACCATGATGAACCTCACGTTGAGATCTTGAATATGCGTGAATTTTACCGATTTCATCAATAGCACGTTGGCAAAATTTACGTGTATTCAACGCCTCAACGAGATACATCTAATACTGAAGACGCTGAGGGTGTTTGTTGCTTAAAATGTTCCAAATTAACAATACGAGAGGGTTATTCTAACTACGAATAACTTACCTAGCCACTTGAACATAGTTCACAATCAGAAAAGTAGTGAATACGACCGCACTGAACGCATTCATTGAGAACAATCAAATTTGATGCTAATTAATGAATTACCATGAAATTATTTTGTATAAAATTAGTATTTTTGAAAGAATTTACGATTAAAATTTGCATTAGACGAAATTCCTTGATTGTGAGTACGAAATTGACGAAATTGATTGATTTGATTTGATACTTAATTTATTGTTTGATTTAATCAAATTGACGATTTAATTTGATTATCAGTAGACGAAATTGATTTAATTATTCATATATAAATAAAGGATACTCCTAAGGAGTATTCTTCATTTATATATGAATAATTAAACAATAATCATCGCTTGCTCACCTGCTCATTACAATGATTCGGTTATGCAATGTGGAAAAGAAGAAGACTGGGTAATGATTATATGAATAATTGTGGTATCGCGAGAAGTGGAAAGAAAACATCGTGAAATGGTGAAGGACCGCTTATGGGAACGAAAATCGAGGGACGGAACTCTTTCGAGAAGGGTTGCCGTTCTGAATGTTGAAAATCCAGCTGACCAAGATGATCAACGTGAACTCAAGAGTAGGACAATCCGCATTGATTCGATCAATTAATCCTGTGCATAGATCAGATCATTCCAGATATGGTTATTAGTTCACTAGAAGGCCGATATCACGGGTTCACTGGGACGATTTGCTGCTGGGAAGAAATTCTATGTGACCAATAGTGTGATTGATTCTTTTTGCGCTGAACAGACACGAGGCGATAAGCTCGTAGCCATTGTTCCATTGAAGCTGTCAGAAGAAGTGCAAACAGTGAAGCTCTTCGGAAATCAGCTCAATGGAACGATCACCACGAGTTGTAGACGAACAATAATGCTGCATCAATTTTGACGTTGAAATGCGTGAAAGTCAGTGATTTTACGTCAGTGATTTCTGTTTCATGTCAGTGATTGAATTCACGATAAGATCAGTCGTCCGTCCTGAATTTATATTTCTCGCTTCAAAAGTCGTATCTACGAGAATCTGGTTCCAGTTAAGGATGAATTCTCACAGTGACACAACACTGCAGCAGAAGTCGAGCAAATTGATGAGGGTGTAGCACAATGAACGAAACGCGTAGAATGACGAGACTTTATAAGCAAGCCGGCCTTGTTGGTGCATGAATTCAAAGTGAGGATTAACATTTTGAGCAATGATATGAACGGAAGGTGAGGATCAACATTTTGACATTTCCACTCAAATAACTCACCACAATTCTGAGGTGTCTGATCGTCATTGTTTTCGACAACCTGTTACATCATTCGAATTTTTTTTCGAGCCATCAGTGACGCTTGCGATGATTCGATTGATCTGCTAGAGCTTTTGTGTT